TCATCATTAATATAATTCATAAATACTTTGAAAAATAAGAAAGCATTGCTAGAGTATTTTTTTCCATGACTTTCACCTTTGAGAAAGAATTGTTACTTCTTCCAGATATTTTGAGGTTTTTTYCCCCAAAGGTTCAAAGTTTGTTAACATGGCTTTACAAAACATCAAATTAGAATAATCTATTGCTTGGATCAAATCATTTAAAACAACCATATTTCACACCTAAAATATTAAATGTTGTTAAATTAATTTAAAGAAACTGAATTTTACTTAAATTTAGCAAAATGAAATATTATCACTCTGCCTGAAAATTGGATCTGGATATCCTATTTCAGAGCTAGCTTCAAGGAAATTACTAGTAAGATTATATTTTGAATTTTAACTAGAAATAATGACAATAATAGTATTTTTTTAGCTCACTAAACCACTTCAAAAACTTTCAATCATGCAGTTAATGACTTAAATTGTAGAAGTGGAAACACTTATAAGCTCAGCTCTCTAATTGAGGAAGTTATCCAGAGGCAGTTGAAAAAAAGTTACTCACTCAGAGTTACTCACTATTTTATTTTTCACTTACAGTAGATGATTGTTAATCATTTTTACATCTTTTTTGCCGCTGTTTAGAAGTGTCAWTGTTCAACTTGGAGGATAAAAGAAAAAAAATATTACATATAAAAACAGAAAAGTGGATTATATTTCAAAAATCACCTAATATTTTCTGTTGAATTAGTCGGACAGTCCAAAAGCCTGTAGGTGCAAAGTTTTAAGATAATTTTTGTTTCTTCATGCATTCTTTTATTCTTCTTTTATATGCTCTTTTCATTTCATTCATCCTTTCATTTTAAACATAACTATACCTATAAATAGGTAATTTGGTTGAGCTTTCATTAAAATCAACAGAAAGCTTTCTCAATTCTTGTCCTTTTCTAGATTAAGATAAATTAACACAGACTTTAAAAACGAATTTAGACCTGTCAAAAGAATGTATTTAATTAATTCATTCCAACTTATTTTCAAAGGTTTAGTTAAGCTGTTAAAAGTGGCAGGTCCCAGGTATCAAAAACWAGTATTGCTGAAAACCTAAGAAAAAATAAAATGACTAAAGATGAATCTTTCTAAGTTTTTTTTAATATAGAAAATTAACCATAAAAATGACAGACTTCAAAAAGAATTTAGACCTGTCAAAAAAAATTTATTTTCTCTCTTAAGACACAATTCAATTAATTCATTCCAAATTATTTTGAAAGGTTAAATGCTATAAAACATCGTATTCAATATATATTTGGATGACAATATGTTCCAAACYCCATATTATTTGTTTTAATTAGAAAAATAATAATATACTTATTCTAATTAGACAAATAACAATACGCCGGACTGGTGTACTGAAAATAAAAAAACTGAAAAGGATGATAGAAGAAATAACAAATCCCAGTACATGCATTGAACAAAAAATAAACCCCAATTTTTAGCTTTTGTCTTYTGTTTTGTGGCCATTCAAGCATGAAACAGAATATGATAGAAAATTCTAGKGTTACCAGATGCCGATAAATCTCTCTGAGAGAGGGTGGAACTATGCACAATGACCTATCCAACTACAAATCTTTTTGTTTAATATATAAACAAAGATATCCTAATATAAATCATATGCAGGTMTATATCTGTTCATCATTTCATATTTATCATGAACATTTCTAATTTTCCTGGCTYGTTATTTGATTGAACGTTTTCCCCCCATGATTTGTATTCTAAGACATGGAGTATGACAATCATCTAATTGATTGAAATCTACTGCAACAACAAAAAAATCTAAGAATCCACCAAATCTCATTATCCTATCCAGACCCTATTATACACAAGTTATTAGGAAGGAAGGATGAAGAAATCACTAGGAATTTAGAAACAATAATAAGAATAGGCATTATCTTCTGATGAATAAATATATACAACAAAAGCAATAAAAAATTCTATGCTTGAACAGGATTTAGTTGTCAGTCATAGTTAGGATACAAGTTATTCTAGAATTACCAAATATATATATATATACCCTGCATTGCTTGCACCATTTTATCTTCTTTTTTTTTTCAATAAAAATGTGCAGTTTGAAATACTCACAAAAATGGTAAAAACTAAATTAGAATACAATGGAATTTGTTTGCCTAATATAATAATTTTGAGGACTATTTTCAGATGTTTCTTATTAGTCATTCCTATGCGAACAATTGAACAAAGGCAAAATGGAACAATAGTACACAAAACCATGTGTTACAGTGTATGCTTGGCAATGTTACCCAACATGGCTGACACTCCATCTTAACTCCCAAAAGAATAGCTACAAATGTACAAGAAATATATTAAATTACACTTATTCATTTGCCTCTCGATTGAAGGTCATTTGTAGAATGACCGTCAYTTCCACTGCAAATCGCTAGGTGATGGYRTAGACTGGATGATGTGTCTGTTATATAGCACTTGTATAACAGAAATGAAATATATTTATCTATAAGAAACCAAGGTTGGCATAGTGGTAGAGCACTCAGGTCTCACCTCTATAGACTGTCAGGTTTGAATCCTGGACTTTGTTGACTGACAAAGATATGACTTCTTGAAACGACCGGTATTGTATGCCAGTCCACATACATTTCTTTTCAAATATRCTTGGCTGTCCTTGTTTTTAATTTATTTATGAGTCGATTTTTTTAGAGGGAGAAAAACTGGAGAACCTGGAGAAAAACTTCAAAGCAAAGGAGAGAACCAACGAGCAACTCTACTCAGATACAACACCAAGCCCAGTGGGATTCAAACACGGGTTGCATTGATGAGAAGTGAGAACTCTCACCTCTAACACATGTGTTTCCCAAATACCTTCCCATGCTTAGTTTCAAAAATTTATATCTTTGACAGTTTAAGGACAATCTTTTTGAAAGTTTGCAATAATTTTACTATAAATATTTATTATTGTTGCGACAAATTCAATAGTAAACTCTTATAATGTTATGCTAGCATGATATAGGTCAAATAAGAAATTTGCTAATAAATGAGGTAGAAAATAAAAATAAAAATGAAGCTATTTGGTAGTGGTAGTAAAATGACACTGTCKACCATTCTATGGTCTATCAATAAATAAAAAAATGTTAGTAAAGAGTTGAATAAACCTTTTCTGTCTACTGGCAGATAAATCATAATCAGATAGCAATTTTACATATATTCTAGACCAATCTAATGGATTTCCACCAAAAACACTAGGAGATTCCCTGACCATGACTGAATGGGTCTAGACAGCTAGTATTTGGCAAGAAGACTGTCATGTGGTTGACCTTAGCTATACAGTTACACGACAAAATTGTCTTAATGGATGTGAATATCTAAAATATYTTTCATCCATTAGGAGATTTTACATGTTGGATCTTTTCAAGGCAAATGATATACTAGGTTAGCTTTCGTTAGTTTAAAAACAACATCAGCTTACAATTTTGATAATGTTTTTAAAAGCAATAAAGTTTTGGCACAATGACATCGATTAGCTAAGGCTAAGTATTGAACAGGTTCGATTTAGTAAAATGTCTCTCGCTGAGAGAACTTTTTTCTTCTTTTCTAGTAATGTAATTATTTCTTTAACAGTTCTTATTATCTTATTCATTACACTTCCTAATCCAAACTTAGAGCCTAAATCCCAAAAGGATATGAAGAAAATYATCATTACAGCAGGTATTCAATGTTTTTTCTTTGCTAATTAAAAACAAAAAATGACACATCTTGTAACTGGATACAGTTTTCGCTCGTGTTTTGAAAAACAAACTGTAAAACAAAAGTCTTTCAGAAAATGACAGAAGCCACAGAATATAAACAATAATAGGAACAAGACAGGGTATAAGAGGTATTAATATTCAGTCTTGAATATTCAMTAATAAAACTGAAAACACATGGACAGCTTTAGTTCTGGAGACTTAAAGAAAGCATATTCAACACCTTGTTTACAAAAGATATTTATGCACAATACTGTATCTAATGGTTATCCCAAAAAGATCATTGCAATTTTCAAAAGATAACCTTGACGGTAATAAAGTATATATACATATAAATTTATAGTTATATATAAAAAATGTAGATTGTTTGGCTAGTTWATTATTTGGTTGAGGTATAACAAGGTTAAACCCCACTAATACTTAATTGTGAACTCAATAAAACGATTAATCTAGAATTGAGTGATTGCAATATAGTTGTATTTCACAGAGATACGCTATGTATTATCAATATCAAAATACCAGTTGTTTGACTGTTACCTTGATGTTGGATGCTGAATAATAAATTTCAAGAGAAGTTAGAATATAAGTCTTGGATAAGTTGGATATACATTTGTTCTTTATCCATTGATTTTTTTACCGATTGTGAATGCTTTTGGAGTTTGAGGAATCAGAGCTATATATAAATAAATTACTATTACTATTGTCCATAATCAATATAAAAACCTGTAAATAAACATTTTAGTGAAATCGTTTTTCTGGTGCTAATCAAAGAAAATAGCGGTCAAGTTAGAACTGGTAACATGGAATTTACAGCTTTATAAGCTTAGAAGTCCTAAAAGTGAAATATTAGACTAACTTGTCATCTTAACACAAAAACAAGCCATTCATAAGCAGCATGCTTGCTTATACAAAGCTAATTGCAAAAAAAAAATAGTCGTTGCTGTGGTAATTTTAAGAAATTATCTATTACACTGAAATTTAATATCAAGTTAAAGTTGGCAGGCAAGCGCCTCTGTAAATAAAGATTAACATCAAACACGGTCGTAAACAGCTGTAAATTAAGTCGATATTTGTGCATTTGGAAACCCTCTGCTTCAATGCGGTTTCCTTTAAGCTATGATCAGAAGCGCCTTTTAATAGTTTTAAGAAAAAGTCGGCACGTGTAGGCTATGAAACTAATAGCGAGAACTGCTTGATTGTTTGCACAATTCAAGTATGAAAAATTTCACCAAGAACCACGGTATTGCTGCACGCGTACGTTTAATTGGTTTTTCCCTCATTTATCTAATGAAAATTATTCGTTTGAAGCGGGTAAGAGCTCTTATTCATTTTAAAGTACTTTTTAAAGTCATTTTTCATTCACTCTTTTTAAGAGCGCTTCGAGCATTTTGACGGGTTTTCTTGATTAAATTTCAAAATGTGCCTAGGATTAAAACCCTAAGAAATCCTAGATTATTTGAAATTTTACCTTGAATATCGGTTTTTTAGCTAATCAAGGTCTTTTTTTACTCGTAATTAATAAGTAAAACGTTTCAATGCACTCTGAGGGATGAAGTCCTGGATTTGTTGACTCGCAAGCTCGCTGTCACACGTTTGTCGCTCGGAGACAACCAAGAAACCAAACAATAACCACCTCAAAACACCCTAAAAATAAACACTTACCTGACAGAAGCCGAAAAAAGGCTGYATTTGTGTTTCTTCTTGGCTAAAAGAGGCATAGGAAACGGTAATTTGCTTGCAAAATCAGCCATTTTACTGCAGTTGGGAAACTCTCGTCGAGATGGTCGCCATTTTCCTTGGAAACGGCCCCTCGGTGACGTCATGATTACTTGAACGCTGATTGGCTAGAAGGTATTTTTGCCGCGAAATCCAAAATTGCGCGAAGCCGACTACACGCGTGAAAAASATTTGTTTACATTTTGAACGACTGGATAGAGAAAGAGCGGGGCCAAAGGGGAACACATTATATATGTAAATCGGTCTATCAGAAAAACAAAACAAAAGACGCCCGTTAACACTCTCCTTCATTTAATACTTTACAACCTTCGTACTCGTTGTTTAGCTACAATCACTCTTTCGTTTTCTTTTCTTTAGTTTTAGTATTCGCGACTGCTTTCGAATATTTGGAGCTGACGCACTGTTCTGCAAAAGATAATATATGTAAAAATATACAAGAGCCAGAAGATTGGGGTTACACGCTACTAACTTGCACAAAATGTTTGAATTCTAAATAGAATATAATAAATAACCGACTGCATTTGAGTGAAGTGATTATATGACAATCATATACGCGTTGTGCGTGGAGATATGAGAATACAAATGTCTTGTTCTTTACGAACGACGTATCGTAGTTCACTAAAAATTGTCTCCCTCGATCGAGGCAATGTCCAATTCCGAATCATAATCTAAGTGGTAGACCCCTTCATCGGCAATTTTACGTTCAAGCGCTTTTTCCTTTTTATTCGTGAAGTCCTTGACTTTTCCTAAGGTAAGTTTTTCGCCTAATTCGAGCTGTTTTGTGGGTGAAGAAGTAGGAGTTATCATTATGCTGGAGACCTTGGCATCAAGTGGTGATGAAATAATTGGTTTCAGAATAAAATTTTCGTGTTCTGTGAAGTATGGAGCTGGTGACTCTTTTGCTTCTCTCTTGTTCTACAACAAAACAAAAATTATAGAGAAAACATCAACAATAATAGAAAATAATCCCTTGGGTTTAGCAAACTTGTGTCTACTTTTCAAGGCTTTTTTTAGATCAGGAGGTATATTTCTACTCACCGAACATCTTGGTATCCGTAAACCTCTTTTCTTATCTCTAAACCGAAAGTAGGAGGACTAAAACAAGATTGGGAAAGAAAGGTATATAAATAAATAAGTTTAGCAACTCGTCTATGTACACGCAACGCAGAACTCTAGGTTTTGTTTGATTAATAATTTACACTGCTTCGATTAGTATTTATTAGAGCACCAGAAAACAACCAAGAATGAGACCAAACATCTGGAATTTTTAAAGATAAGAAAAATAAAAAGAGCTCACCTCTTCCATTTTTGCTAGATCCAAAGCCGGTCTGAGTTTATTACCAACATCAAAGTCGTCTTCAATCCTTCGCTTAATCCCGCAAGTTCGAGCCCGCTCGAAACAGGGTTGTGAACGACTTCTGTGCAATCGTGGGCAGGCATCTGAGGTATCTGTGGCGTTTTTGTGAGGAGTAATACTCTCTTCCTTAATATTTTCTTTCATACAGATTTGATTGTCACTAAGGGCAGCAAAAGCTGATGCTGGTCTTGGAGTGGGAGAAGCCGGTGGGGTAGAAATGAAATTTACAGCAGGGCTGGTTAACAGCTCCGTCTCCGCTCTTGCGCTTCGGGTAGTTGTATTTGTATTATAAAGTTTTTCAGGTGGAGAGGACACAGATCGAGACCTAGTTGCTATTCTTGGGAAACCCTTCACAGGTTGCCATACTTTCGAGGCCTTTGGAGCCCAAGATCTCAAGCCTGTCTCTTCAGACGATTCCTCTAGAGGAACCGAAATGGATCGACATAGTCTCTTGCTTGCGGGTGGCATAGCCGTCGAAGAAGTACTACTTATACACGAGTCGAAAATAATTCCTCCTCGACCATCAGATCCTCTAAAATCGTGTGTAGGGTAACTTCTAGTCCTTAGGTGCCCTAATCCTGATCTACGTTCGTTGCCTACTCGAAAAATAAATCCTCGGTCTGAAAGGAAACAGATTGGATATTTATTGTAGACCATGTGTTTGCTTATGCTCTATCAATAATAGTAGCAAACCCCATGAATTCAATGAGACCTCCATTTAGCAATATATTTCGACTGTAAATTAGCATAGATGTGATCAATCTAAAATAATAACTAAAAAATTCTCTCCGTTACCTTGGCTATCTGTTTGCAGCATCAATTCTTTCTTTTTTTCTGTATTGGTAGTGACCTAGAAAAAAATAAAAAATCATCATGATTTGGCAATGAAATCTAATGCTGGTCGTTTAGTGCTAGGGGGTTAGTTATACTAAGGCAAGCTAGAGAAATAAAATGTAGAGAATAAAATCATTCGCCCGTTTCTTACCCTCAAAGGTTCGTTGGGGAGATCTTCCAATGACTGTTTCTTCAGTTTGTTCGTAATTACAGTCACCATACTTATTCCAACACATGAAGAACTGATTTGTGTTCCCCGATACGAGATGACAGAATGACTGGGCAATGCTTTGCTTACTTACACTCGATCGGTAGTCGATTTGCCCTGAAAGAGAATACACCGGAACTGAGGCACATTGCCGATTTAACAAAACCTTTTTCCCGATTCAAGAACATTGCATTAACCTTCCCTTGACTAAGAATGTAATCATTATCCCAGTAGAAAGATTTCCATTTTAAAATAACGTTTTCGTGTTCTGTTCTTACCTGCGAGAGTGTTTTTAGTTCATGTCGTTGGCTGAGTAGACAGTGAACTTGAGCGTTGCCCTGTGTTAAAAGGAAATATCGATTAATGAATAAAAGCCGTAAAGGCGACTGGGTCAAAAATGGAATTCGCTCCTTTCAGWTCTAGAAGATCTAGAAATCCCTCGGCTTGTAACACGAGAAATCAACAGAAAAATCAAGCTTAGGAACACAGAACATCGTAATGAAAAGTACAATATCGCGAGTGAAATTGACGTCGGTAGTGCCGCCGCGCCGACGTAGAAATGTACCTTTAGAGGGCTTTCACGATCTTYACACTTTCATAGGGCACCGAACTTACGCCTAGATTTTTATGTCCGCAAAATTATAGATAGATAGAGAATAAAATCAACCAGAGTTGCTCTCGTAGGAGCTTTTCTGGGTAATCTACATGCCGAACTGGTACACACAACTGATAAATGACATTTTGCTAAGAACAAAACTGTCAACCAATCAAGTTGCGAGCGGAGGTAAAAGATGGATTTTGATTGGTCAGGTCATTAAAGTGACGTCCGCATTTCTGCTATCAATGAATTTGGAAGGCTAAAAACTCCTCAATGCAAATCGACAAGAGACCAGATTCGATGTTATATGCTGTTAGATTAAAATTTGTCAAAGGACGCTTAATGAAAGCCCCATCAATAGAAATACGTCATTGTATTTGACACAACTACTATAGCTTTATGTCCAAAAGCAGAGAACGTATCTCAAGGGTATGTTGATTGTAGTGTTCTTTACTTCCTCGGCAAAGGAAATAAAAAAATTTTTTTACTACAACTTTGTATTCATTGAAAAAYACACTACAGCATGAATTTGTAAATTAACAAGAAAAGAAAAARAAACCCACTAGAACAACGTCATTTTCCATTTCCTTAGACAGAATGAAAGAGGAAATAGTCTTGCCTTCAATCTCGATAATTTAAACCATATTTCTTACTAAATATCTAAAATTTACCCTTGGGATGAAAAACAAATCGAATCGGTCATATTACTAATAAATTATACATACTGCTCGCTGTTCTAGCAGAGTACCATAATTTAGTAGCCGAGAGCACTTCTGCAGTTTTCGCTTGTTCGATCCTAAGATGATTAGATTATGTCCAATCCTCACCTGACTAAGCGCTGGAAAAGGCCTTACACTAGAATTTGTAAAAAATTGCGAAATAATTACATTTGTCTAACTAAGCTGGGCCTTGAGCCTAGCGTTAAACCACAAAGCATCCGTGGGAGACCCCATAGTGGATAGTGTATGTCAGGTAAAGCATGTCACGGCCAAGGCCAATGAAAAGTGAAAAAGAAAGGGAAATGAATGGTAAAAATATCAAGGGCTCAAAATCTCGGCTAAGCTAAGTCTTCATTCTTTAGCAAWGCAATCTTATACCAATATTGGCGATGAATTTATGACTCCAGAACTAGGAAAGACACAGATATAGCCTTCGAGGGGGCCCTTTTGAAATTAGTGTTTCTTTCAAACAYTGATAAGAACGATCATCCGGAGAGCTGGATAATGATGTCGAATAAAGAGTTTTGAAGAAAAAAATCAAGCAAGTAAATGAAACTGTCAAACTATGAAATTTTACTTCAATGGCTGACTTTCAGTTGTTGGCTGTCATTCAAACCATTCACCACAATGGATACGGTTTTACGAGACCATTCTGAATTAATTGTTAAAAAGATAAGCCAATCTTTAATGTAAGTAAATTTAGCATATAAAAGTGTCCAGTCGCTTTATTGTCAAAATAAATCTCGCTGACTGCACGTAAGGTCAAAAGACAGCACTAAAACAAGGTAAAATATATTTCTTTTTTCAATTTTCTATCAAAAAATTATTGTGTCTTTAAAATAAAGAAATATAACCAATCGGTTATAAGTGAGCTAAGTTAGATAATAAATATAAGTGTAGGAAACAGAGGTAAATATCACATAATCTGGGGAAAGCATTTGTAGTTAGAACGATGTGCCAATGATCCGTTATCAAAATCCACTGGAGCGCGCGAAGTCAACTCATTTAATTGTACCTAAATTCTTACGTAAATCTTCTATTTTTCCCACTCTCATATAATTAGTGATGATCTTGAAGTTTCCCTCCGGACTTTAATCTTGTTAAAGGCTTTTGTTTCTAGTTGTTTTGCTATGAATGAGGAACAACTATTCTCGAGAAGTAGCAGCTATTTTGAGCTCGCACACTATATATTYGTTGTTCTATTGAGGATGTTTTTTTCACCTGCCCCGGAGCTCATAAGATCTGCCCATTGATGGACTGTCGTAAAACAAACTACTTGTTTGTTCCTGTGAATCGTGGGGTTCCTTCTCTAACCATAGTTCCAAGAGCTTACGATTGTTTTCAAAACAAATTGGAAGTTTAATTTTTTTCGGGAGCAAAAGACGGATGAACAGCAATATAAGAAGCCGTGAAAAACCAAATGAAGGTTATCAAATCGTAACAAGCTGCAATACGTCGTTAACACCTTTTCCAAACCAGCCGAAAAAGTTTATATCCGTTATGTARCAATATCCGAACAAAGCGCGCCAGCAATTCATTTGACAAGTTTCTTTCTCCCTTATTGAAAATGATATTAAGAATAACAAGACCGGAACATATAGTATGTCTTGACAACGAAGGTACACTCATTAACATACGCTAAACGATTCCGCTCTAAAGAGTATTAACGTTTTGAATGTTATCGTTGAGAAAGAAGTGTGATTGTAATGAAAAATGCTCRTAACGGTAACAGCATCTCTGCATGGGGCGTCGAAGCAAAAAAGGCTGATTTAAATTCCCAGCTTTTAAGATATCAATTTCAGCCAATAAGTGAAGAGGTAATTTGACGCTATTCAACTATATCAAACCAAGCTGACCACTGGACAACAGAATAATCGTTGATGTATCTGGGGAAAAGACGGGATAATTGAAATGGAAAGCCGACACAAGTTGATTAAGACGGCAATAAGGCAGTACGAGAACGCGTTTACAAACGAAAAGCTATGGGGCGCCAGATTAGAGTTGTATCCGAAGATAACGCTACTTAGGCAACGACTACTGCTACTGCTACTGCTACTGCTACTGCTACTGCTACTGCTACTGCTACTGCTACTATCTACTACCACTACCACTACCACTGCCACTGCCACTACCACTTCCACTACACTGCCACTGTCAATGCCACTGCCACTACCACTAACTACCACTACCACTACACTGCCACTGCCACTGCCACT